AATTAAAAAATCAAATTGTTTTTCCGAACAATTTACCTTCATGTTAAGTTTCTCTGACAAATCAGAAACCATAACCTGAAGATAACATTGAGAATTCGACTACTTAAAGTTTAAATCAGCGGTCGGCAGCTTCCCATTAAGCAGGCATAGGGAGTGACTTTGCCGCCACACAAACAGTGTACACCAGCGGTTGTTCCACACACAATGATGCGCTACCCCCGTGCAAAAATACAATTGTACTTCGTGCCGACCGCTGGTTTAAAACCATATTAGAGAGATTGCTTATACTAAGTGGTATGACCACTGATATTAAACTACTTAAAAAATTGTTTAAGCCTAGACAATATAATATACAAAGTATATAATTATCTACATTTCATGTTTCTTAAGATACGATTACTTCTACTCTTTTAGAACTACACCTCGCACAATGGCGAGCGTTACTCGCTGCCCACGTTCCCCACGATTTCGGAGTTGGCTGCGGCCACGGCGGCTGTGGAAGCGGCGGCGGCGGCCACCATCTCCTCCCCCTCATTGGGCGGCCCACCACCCGTTCGACGGGCATCTCTGCCGGTTCAGCGGACTGTCTCACCGGCCGGTTCCTCAGCGCAGAGCCCCAAGTTGGCCAAGATCACGCTGGGCCAGAGGCACACCCATGCCCATCCCCTCCAGCTCAGCTCGGCTCCCAATTCGGCGGCCAGTTCGCCGGCAAGTGCGGATCTCCAGGCGGGTCGCCTCCTCCAGGCTCCGTCGCAATTGTGTGCCGTTTGCGGCGACACCGCTGCCTGTCAGCACTATGGAGTGCGAACCTGTGAGGGCTGCAAGGGATTCTTCAAGCGGACCGTTCAGAAGGGCTCCAAGTACGTCTGCCTGGCGGACAAGAACTGTCCGGTAGACAAGAGGCGCCGCAATCGCTGTCAGTTCTGTCGATTCCAAAAGTGTCTGGTTGTCGGGATGGTCAAGGAAGTGGTGCGCACGGACTCTCTGAAGGGACGCCGCGGAAGGTTGCCATCGAAACCGAAATCTCCCCAAGAATCACCACCATCGCCGCCCATCTCATTGATCACGGCGCTGGTGCGCAGCCATGTGGACACCACACCGGATCCCTCATGTCTGGATTACAGCCACTACGAGGAGCTGTCGATGAGCGAGGCGGATAAGGTGCAACAGTTCTACCAACTGCTGACCAGTTCCGTGGATGTGATCAAGCAGTTCGCTGAAAAGATTCCCGGCTACTTTGATCTCCTGCCGGAGGATCAGGAGCTGCTCTTCCAGAGCGCCTCGCTGGAATTGTTTGTCCTGCGTTTGGCCTATCGGGCCAGGAGCGACGACACCAAGCTAATCTTCTGCAATGGAACGGTGCTACATCGCACCCAGTGCCTGCGATCCTTTGGCGAGTGGCTCAACGACATCATGGAGTTCAGCCACAGCCTGCACAACCTGGAAATCGACATCTCCGCCTTCGCCTGTCTCTGCGCCCTAACACTGATCACAGGTGGGTAAAGTCTTTTTAAGTGGGAAACCTTTTGGGAACTCAGAAAGTTCATTATTTAAGCCTAAAAAAGTTATCCAACTTAGTTAACAATTAATGAAAACATTTATAACCTAAAACATTTAAGAGATTTCGTACCACTTTCAGTCTTTAATAATACAAAAGGGTTTTTTTTAATGAGAGTAACAATCGATACCATATCTTGCTTAGAGAACCAACTCTTGAAAGCAGTAATATTTCCAAATTTAACCCCTATTTTATTGTCTTATTTAATCTTCAGAACGTCATGGCCTGCGGGAGCCGAAGAAAGTGGAGCTGCTGCAGATGAAGATCATCGGCAGTTTGCGGGACCATGTCACCTACAATGCCGAGGCCCAAAAGAAACAGCACTACTTCAGCCGCCTGTTGGGCAAGCTGCCCGAACTACGATCCCTTAGCGTCCAGGGACTGCAGCGGATCTTCTATCTGAAGCTGGAGGATCTTGTGCCGGCGCCAGCTCTCATCGAGAACATGTTCGTCACCACATTGCCCTTCTAAGGGCGATCAAGCGTATCATCATAACTTTGCTTCCTTAAACTAGAAATTAAGCTATGCCCTTTATAATTTACATAGGAAGGTCCCAAACTAGCTTTAGTAGAACCCTGAAATATATAAATCTCACAAAAATAAAACCGAAATAAAATGCAGACCCAGGCCATATCTATAGTGTAGTGGTAGATAGATTGCCGGACAGCCCCGGCTCCTTCGATAATTACGGACATGAATATTTGACAGCGGGTTTCCAGTGTAAAGCCAGCTCCTGCGTGACTCGTCAGCACTGGAAATTACAACTTGTTGACGTTAATTGTCAAATTGTATAATTTCGACTGTCAGTATCAATGGGCCGGCACGCAATGGAAACACTTTCTATATCCCCAAACTCAAAGCTTGCTCAACATTCGGCTTTAACGGACAGACTGACGGACGGACAGAACGCTCTCTTGCCTTTTTGCTAACTTCTAGTCAATTGTTTTAGGCAAAACAAATAAATAAATAAAAGCATGCAGCAGAAGTGTTATATAATTTATACCCTAGACTAGACCCTAGCAATTCTCTTCAAGAATAACCCAAAATAAGTTCCACAGATTGGGATGAAATTAAATTTTTTCCTTTCAATTTATTTAGTATGTCTCAAGCAAATAGTAAAAACTACAAATCGTTTGCCAATTTGTGGAAATCCACTATCATATATATCATATCATATAGCAAAGCCATGCTTGCCCTTAGCCAATATATAAACCAGCATAAAGTTGATAGCCCAACCAAGTATTTCCGTTAAGTCCTAGACTAAGGCTCCTAATAGATATAGGCTAAGTCTATTCTGTTCGATTTACCAGTGCACCAATAGTGCACGATGAGAGTTTAAGTACCTTTTTGTGATGATTGTGTCTGACACAGAGAGAGTTGCACACAAACACACAAACTAGACTGTAAGCCTAACATATACGATCTTATAATAATCTCTAAAGTAAGCCCAAGTATTCGGTAATCCAAAACCCTTGTATATCCGTAGTTAGTACGTTTTAAACGAGAGAAAAACTTTATTTAATCTTAAACCACTTCGACTAAGTTCTCAAAGAAACGCAAATGGATCGTTAGATCTGTCTCTCTCTATATGTGTGTGTTATCTCGATAGAAAACCCTCTATGTGATTTTGTGATAGATTGGCATTGAACTCTATAATATATATACACGCATAAATATATATTTTTATGTCTAACTTTTGTATGGTTTATTTTATACGTACCACTTTTCTTTGATAACAAAAAGTAAGAATAAAAAACGATCATTAGATAGCAAATATTTCAAATGTATGTTATGAGGAATTTTCAAAGTACAGCCTTTAGCAACTTTCCAATTAACGTTTGTATTAACAAAAGACATTTTCTATGTGTAAAATTCAAGACTTCTGTAACTAATTGTAAACTAAAAAGCAAAAACACAAAAACCAATGTGAATAACATATCTCTTCAAGCTTTCAAGTGCACGAAACATGTTGAACCGAAACAAAAGTGTTACTAAACCTATTTAATATATTGGCATACCTGCATAACTATACAATTTAGATAGATCATTATTAAATTATTGTACATGTAGCACATCAAATGTTCGACAACTAGATTTTGTACCATCTTTAAGAAAAATTTAGGCCAAGTTAAATTAAATACAAACCATGATCTGCATGCGGCTAAGCTGAAGCTATAAACAAATTCAATGGGGTTATATTAAATTAAATGGGAAATTTTGAAGTTTTTAAAAATGATTTCCTAACGATAGTTCCAGTTTAAAATATTCGTGTTGAACAATTTTCGTAGGTGCCCTTAAATCTGCTTATTAAATAAAATTTAAAAATGAGATGGAATTTCAAATTGGCCCATTTCATTTGATTCCACCCACCTCAAACATACATCCTAAGGAAGTTGAAGGGTTTAGATACCATAGAGCAATATTTCATAAGGAAAATGCACCTTAAATTAACTACAATTTTAGCGAAAATAAACCTGAACTTGTAACGGTTAGGAGCGATAGTGAAACAGGATTCAACAGGAACAGAAAGGTGACCAAAACAGTTTGAAAAGAGATGTTAGATAGGTTCGGGTTCGAAACCCCCAAAGCGATGCCATTTTTTAGCCGTTACAACATTGGATATCAATCATGCACATGAATATAAATAATATAAAGATATATCTAGCTATAGGAACCTACTTTGTACCTACACAACATGGAAACATCAAACCTACATGCATATTTACACATATATTTTGAATAGAGCGACAACTTTTACAAGTTAGGTACTTCTGGCACAAAAGCTATAGATATAGCTGGATATGGCCATACCGGAGCGAGCATATACATATATATTTTGGTTTATTGTTCTTTTGTAATTTTATAAATGCATACATATATACTACGTAAATGTCAAGTGTGGATTCATATTTTTGAGATACAGTTACAAAACGAAACAAAATAAATACCGTAAAACGTGAAATTTTTCGATGAAACGATTTTAAATGAGAACTTTTTAATATTGCTATAAAATGAAATATACACATGATATAAATATATATTTTACTATGTAACGGATAGAAGTAAGCAAGATGCAGCGCATAAAGCTTTATACAAATTAAAAAAAAAGAGCAAAAGAAATTGGCACAAATTAAATTTATATAGCAACTAGACGTTTTTTTCGAAAGATAATGTTATTCGTAATAGAGTGCGTCTATTGGAGCAACAGACGCTATATCTCCAAAACACAGAACCACACAATAGTTAAAATAAGATATATATATCCAATCCAATTATGCGCCTACTACTAGCGATGAGCAGAAAGAAAAGAGAGGTGAAACCTAAAGACGCTATAACAAATATCTATTTGATAGATAATAGCCCGTTATGTAATTTTACTCTTATTTGATCGTTTCATTTAGCAGTTAAGTATCCAAAACAGTACGCATATGAGTGTTATGAAAAAAAACCTATTACTTGCAATTCAATTAACTCTGCAATAAGATACCAAGCAAAGCGAATCATTTCATTTCGATTTAAATTTAAATTTACATTTAATTTAAATAAAGATGTAAGCCCAAAACAAAAGTTTTTTCTATATCTGTCTTTTGAGCAAATTAGTTATACGAGAAACCAAACCGTATTTACATAAATGTATACAAAACAAATCGTATATTTTCATTGGTTTGAAATAAATACATAAAACAATTTAGTTTTGAATGTTATTTAAGACGTTTTTTGGGAGCTGTGTTGAAATATATTGTCTATTTTGGCGATTATGCAGTCTTTGGACAAACCTCTCTTGTAATAATTTTAATTTTGTTTCAGGTTTTTAAGTATTGTGGTTATAACATTTTTTCCAGCTGTCCAAATAGGATGTCATTTTTTGCTCTGATTGTCTTGAACCATAGGCATTCGGTAAAATTCTTAGTCCGCTATGGGATTCTTAAAAGCTATTTCCAATTGGCAGTCTTATGTACAAATATGATAAGCTCTAGAAAATTTATAAAAATAGGAAGTATTAAATGTAGACCGGTAGAAACGAAATGATGTCGTTGCGGCAGACAGGACAGCGGTGCTCCAAGCGAAGTCGCAGTTGCTGCGAGCACTCCTTGCAGAGGCAGAGATGCCGGCAGGGCATGATCACGATGTTCCGGGTGCGCTCCATGCAGACCACGCAACCTGGATCATTCCGCACGTTCTGCCTGAATCGCTGTAACTGCTGATCAGTCCATAGGTAAACGCTTTGCGTCTTTGTTGAGATCTCGATGCGGGCACGTTGGAGCAGGTAGATGAGCAGCAGGTACACGTAGCGCCGGAACATGTAGAGAATAAGAAGCACGGACAAACCGATCGAGAGCCGGAACGCGCTGTTCAGCAGGCTGAGGCCACGGGCCACGATGGAGTGAAACACAAAGTCCAGAAGGCAGTCCACGATGAAGAGTATGGTCCTTGGGAGCAGCAATAGCACCCACAAGATGCAATCGCCCAGTTCGATGAGCAGATTGCAGAAGAACCGGCCAACGGCTTGTCCGAAATCCCAGGCATTCTTAAGGCCACCCCTGGTGCCACCATACAAGTACTCCGTCACATCCAGCGTGATGAGGCGCAGGCCGCAGCAGCCGCTGTGAACATCGCTGACCGTGGATCTCACCAGATTCCATGCCAAGGTGCTGCCCTCCACCAGGCAATAGCCGACAAAGTAGCTTCCCCACAGGAAGTAGTAGACGCCGGTAACCACCGCATCGATTACGCTGGCCAGCGGACGCAGCAGGAACTGGTCCACAAACTCGGCTACCCGGACTAGAGTGTACAGCATGGCGGGGGGTTCATCCTCTCGAGAAATCAAAATAAACGGCGGAAAACAAAATCAAAACAAACATGAACGCCGGGGAATTAGTGTGACCAGGCAGTGGTTGATGAATTAAGCAAAACTATCGGTATGACAAGGTGGCGTCACAAGTGAAATTCAATTGTTTTTTGTTAATTTATAACTTAAAAAATTAACGAATAAATGCAATTACATTTTAAATAAATCTATATATATTTCCTAAGCGAAATTTAAGATATTAACTTAACAAGACTGCACAAAAACGTTAAAATTAACAAATTTCAAAATTTATCTATTATTATATAATCATATATTCTGTGCGCAAATTGTCTTTAATAAATTAAACATTAAATATAAATTACTGCTACAACCTATATTTATTAAAATTAAGCCCGCGAATACTTTTTATAAGGGCTATTCCGATATCAAATTAATATTTTTTAAGCTCAAATTTTTCGGAACCAATTCGTTGCAGAAAAAATTAGTTTTTATATTTATATAATCGTCTTCATTTAAAAATCAGCGTTTGTATTTCGAAAGATTCTTTCTAACCAAAAAAAACAGCCCAACTTTAAGAATATACCATTACTTTTTGCGAGTACCCCTAATGTGAATAATCCTGATTTTAAATTATTTCCGGATCGTTAGGGAAGTATTATTCTTTGTTTTCTGTACGAACGTTTAAGTCCTAATAAGAAATAGCAGTACATTTATAAATGCAGTTGCATTATACAAGTAGGGCTTTTTTTGCAGTCAGTGCAATACCATACTTTTTGTTTTTGGGGATGAAACAGTAAAAAAGTTACTGTTGTAGCTGTTTTTCCACCATTGAGAGGACATTTGACAAGTAATCCTGAATTTTCCATGAAAGCTCTGTATCAAAACCAACTAATATCGATTAAATCTTTAAATTTTCTTTAGATTTTGCTTTAAGCCGAAGCTTACAAAGGTCTAAGTCCAAGATGGAGGAATCCAATCGCGGTATGGCTGGTTGTGAAAACGTATCACAATTCATGCTCGATGACCTACAATTAGCTGCCGAACTGGGCAAAACCCTTCTAGAACGCAACAAGGAACTGGAAACCTTTATAAAGGAGTATAAAATCAAGGGGGATGAACAGGAACTGGAGATATTGCACCTACGTAAGCATATAAATGCGATGACCGAGGTGAATGATTCACGGCTTAAGGTTTACGAGCAATTGGAAGTCGGTATTCAGGATCTTGAACGTGCCAATCAACGACTTAATTTGGAAAAGAATCGGGATAAAAAGCAAATTAAATCGTTGACCACCAATACCGAGGTTTTGGAAGCCCGCTGTGAGGAACTGAATCAGTTGCTAAGCGATGCCCGACAATCTTTAAGCACCGAACGGCGAAAGGTGGATCAATTGCAGCAGGAGCGATACAGAATGCAACATTCAGCCGAGGGTTCCGTTTCAAGCCATAGCATTCAGTCATTGTGCAAGGAACAGAATTTGGAGCTTTCAAAACTGGATGTTATGGCCATTGCGAACTCAACCGGACTGGATGATATCTCTTTCAGTAATGCCACCATGTGTGAGAGGACCGCCGTAAAAGGTGAAGATAATGAGGAATTGGTGAAGCTTCTCAGCGAAATGGAGATCCTGAAGCGAGATTTCTTGGCTGAACAGCAGCGTTGCACTGAGCTGGAGGAACAGTTGGTGACCATTATCCAGGATAACCAGGGTCTGCAGAGTCGTCTTCTCGAAAACAGTGGCAATGAGGGAACCATGTCGATGCACGAAGAGTTTAGTCTTCTGGATGACGTAAGACAAGGCCAAATGTGTAGTCGCTGCCTGAGGGATATAAACGAGAGCAATACCAACATGGACGATCAATCCTCCATCGCTCCTACTGATGAAATCTACGAGGACGACGACCGAAGCATACAAAGCGAAAACACCTCAAAATGCGAACATAGTGCTGCGGACTACAAGGAACGTTTTCAAATTTCCGAAGATCTTAATCTTAACGGATGCGATAAGCCAAATCCTTATCGAGACCTAGTCGAAAAATATGAAGCTTTGGTGGAAGTGAAGAGAACCTCAAATGCGGCCAAGAACAATTTTGTCAGCAACTCAGATGGCAAGACCATTACTGAATTAAGTCAAAGCAAAAAAACCGAAACAATTGTTAATAGCTCAAAAGAATCTGACCTTATGTTGGACGCCACACGTAAGCGCACTCCAACTGAGTTTTCCGAATCTGAAACTACATCGTCGGGATTCTCGGATGAAACTAGCAACAAATATACACAAACTGACGAGCGGCCTAGTTTCTTCCTTTGCTCAATTAGTAACGGAAACGATTGTAAATTCAGTATTTATGACGATGTCAGTCCCATTGAATCTCATTTCCGGAATCGCCCCGAGTACAGGGAACTTTTCAAGGAGATCTTCGGAGTGCTCAAGAAAGCTGCTGATAATAACGAAGTAGATAAACTACCGTCCCTGCATGATGACGTACAGGAAAGATTACCCCTAGTGCCGGCCAAAGTACCACCGGTAACACCCGAAAGGGAGGAATCTCCAGATGACTTCATTGATGACGACACACAGAGCGTCGTGTCCTCAGTTATATCTAATCAGTCCATAGCCATGTCCGAGTGCGTTACCAAATTGGAGCGCAAAACAGCCAAAAAACACATCTTCGAAGTCAGGAATCAACAAAACCACTCGACCCATACGCAATCTACCTTGTTAAATAGCTCTTCTAAGGAAACGACAGTCGGTGAACCGAATACTAAACAGATTAAAGAAAATGGCCAGGTACTTACTCCACTTAAACGGGAACCTCTCGAATATCTAACCGTAGGTGTCGGAATCAAAAAGAAGAACCGACGAAAGCACCGAAACCAATGCGCATCCGGAGATCGTATCGAATTGTTTAATTCGCGGGAGTTCACTCCCAGGAACAGTCCTCTTGCCATGAACAACCGTGGTGGACAAGGCAGCTCAAAGATGTGTACGGATACACTGAACGCAGAATTCGGACGCAGCAATCGTCGACGGAATACACCTTCCTCAAGCAATTGGAACGGTTCACCAATGGTGATCTATAACAAAAATATGAATACTCCCCAGACTTCTCGTGGCCGTGTAATAGAGCTAAATGGCGTTGAATTTTACCATAATACGGTGTCGCAAGATTTACATAAACTCAAAAAGCTAGATTTATCTTATGCTGAAGTACTTCGTCGTGCCGATGCCGGCGATCATATTCCCACAAAATTGCATTCCCAGCGACAACAACATAACGGAGCCAATATACGAAAGAATCATCATCAGTATCGTCAAAAGTAACCTTGTTTAGAGAATGTAAATAATTAATTATACATTGCATTCTAGCCATAGGGCATTATAACATTTTTTAAATTGTATGTGCCATGAAGTCTAGTCCGCTTTTTAATGTATAGACAGTTAAATTACAATTACAAATTAACTATTAACGGAAATTAAATTGTATTTCAGCATGATAAAATAAATTATTAAATGACCTACAACTACAAATATGATAAACTGACATTCGTAAGAAAATTCTGTGTTGATATGTTTAGTTTCATATAAAATCAAAAATTTATTGTAAGCTTACAAGGTAAACAAAGGCGAATAAAATACTCTTTCACTTTCACGACTCTCCAGACTAACTGTTCTCAAGACCTCCATTTGCGATACCCAGTTTGCTAAGCAAACTTATTATCTCGCTATTGGTTCTCATAACAGCCATCACTTCCTGTTGCTGCTGCTGCATGACCCTCAATCGATTCCGCTCTTCGATCTTGGCCAGCTGGTTATTGTTGTTTATTGTCTTTGTGTCGACATCCAGTTTTAGCTCCGATTTAACGTGATACAGTTCATCTCGAATGCCATTCAATTTCCGCTCGCAATCACGAACGTCCTTCTCCAGAATTTGGGTTTTAAGATAGACAGTCTGAGCCAACTTGTACCAATCGGCCAGGCACTCTGCGATCTGAGCCACTGTGGGATTTACATTGTCCATAAGCAAAGCCTTGATGCGCTTGCCATTGTGATCCACTTTGATCTTTTCCAAAGCATGGAACTGCTCATCATTGTAGGTCAGCGTACGCGTGGCCCGATCTCGCAGTAGATGCTGCCAGGAGTCCCGCAGCCTTTCCACAAGATACTTGGCCTGGGCACTGGCCCTGGTCCTACAAGGGCACTTCTTTCCATGCATAGAAGAATTCCATTGATCGCTGGTTGATAAAAACTTAAATTAATAAATATTATTTGGTTATTTATTGTAACATACTTAAGTTCATCATCTGTGACAAAATGTTTGTGCATTTGTGAGATCACATCGGCAGCGCCATCAAAGTCGCTTTTCACGTTGTCCAAAGCAGTCAACAGGGTCTTCAACTCCTGATCCCCCTTTGTCTAAGACGTAGTGCAAACAATTGTTAAAATATTTTCTTTATAAGAAGCCTAAACCACTCACCACTCTGGCCATGCTGTGCACCACATCTGCATAGTCAATCACAGTGGAAAGCAAGTTGTCGAAACTCTCTGTTTTTCTGAAATAGAAATCATTATCTAAAGGTTACAAGTTAATGCCTCTATTCACTCACTTCAAAAGAAGAGTAATCGTGGTTATTAGCATCTCTATGAAGTGCTCCACTCCCTTCTTTATAAGTATATCCATGGAAGTGAAGATGTCCACACGTCTTTTGCATTCGTGACCAACACTGCAAGCGGATTTAGCCAAGCTGGCGTCATTCTCCACAGAAACATTGGGAGGAAACACGGGGAACTTGGGTAGATCCAATTGTTGGGGCAGCTGAACATTGTTGTCGTCGTTGCTATACAGAAATATGGGCTGCTCTGTGGTGGTAATAGGGAATGCTTTTGCTAAAAGTTATGGACTTCATTAGTACCGCCAAAGAAATCTCAAAAAGTTAAATACTTACCTATGGTTCGTGGAGTGACCTTCTTTTCCAGATGCTCGTTGTTGAACAGTAGGATCTGCTTCTCCAGCGGCACCTCGGTCTGCAGGAAAATGCGCTCCCGGAAGTTGTCAATCTGCTCGTCGGGCTCCAGGAATACTTCCACAGAACTTGTGCGATTGGTAAAGAACACATGGATGACGCGCTTGCGCAATATAAGCGTCACCTCATGGAAGAACCGATCGAAAGACCAGGTTTTCTCCCTGTTCTCCTCGAGGAGGCCAGCTAGAAGAGGAGTCACCAGCGTTTTTAATCCCTGCGAAAGATGTGCATGCGGTGGCAGGGTGGTGGACCACTCAATGGGTCCATTTTCGGAAAGCTGAGTGCCGGAAATAACCCCGGAAGCTTTCTTGGTGGTTATTTGATGCATGGTCTCCCGGTTCTTTCTTCCCCCAAAGGGTCTAAAAGGCAGATTGCCAGTAGCCACGTGATACAGAGTAACCCCAATAGACCACAGGTCTACATTGGCGGTGAAAGATCGTTGGATGGACTTCCTTAGCACAGCACGCTCATAGAGATCGGGATGAAGGTACTCCTCGGTTCCGTAGAGCGAGGCAAAAGGCTGATTATCCTCGAGTTCTCGGGCAGCTCCAAAGTCTGTTAGCTTGTAGATGGTCTGCCCGTCCTCTGAGATGAACTTCATGATATTTCCGGGCTTGAGATCGCGATGCACCAGCTTGTTGTCCCGCAGATGCTTCATTCCGGCGCAGAGGTGCTCCAGCACCAGTAAAAACTCATGTTCCGGCAGTCCGTACGAGTTCTCCGGATCGTCCAGAATGTTGAAGAGACTGCCGCCGGTGCAGAGCTCCATTACGATCACCTTGCCACGACCCTCTTGATCCTCCTCGATGGCCAGCAGCTTTACTATGTTCTCGTGGTTGACCTTTTTTAGAGCCTCGAACTCCCGCATCTGAACATCCGCCGGTCGCATATGACTGTAGGGATTAAAGGTCTTAACCGCCACCGATTCGCCAGTGATCTTGTTGACCCCCTAGAAAACAAGGAAATTTCGAAAGGAAAGTGAGTCAGGAGGAAAATTCCAAGAGTCGTAAGCCAAACTCACCTGGAAAACGGAACCGGTGGCTCCTTTGCCCAGGACACTGGTGGTGCACCACACATAGCTCACGGAGCCGCGCAGGAATGACATTTCGGAGCTATTTTCCACCTATTTCCCTATTATTTTGGTTTATTTCCAAGCGCCGCGATAGTGACAAACAAAAACACTTGTATGGAAAGTCTATCGATAACACTAGTCTACAAGCAAGCAACTTATATTAGGACCGTACATTTATAAAAATGTACTTCAACTATTTTAAAAATAAAATTTTTCTCTTGATAAAAGTAATATGTTAAAATTGTAGGATCTAGCATGAGAAAAAATATAATAGTTTTAGTGCAACACTTTTTACAATACGATTACATACCATATTAACAATTAATTTATTGGTTGATTTGTCTATCATTGGGCTTGGAATTTTTCATCAATTTTTTTAAATTTTCAAAAAAATGTTATGATAAAAAACCAGTTTTTAAGCCTTGCTCAGTATTTCCTGCTCACCAGTGTAACCGAATGAAGTCGTGATCTGGCGATAACTGTGACTACTTTACCCGATAGCTGGTACTTCGATAGCCCGCCTATCGCTTGACCCGGCCATCATTAGTTTTTTGTTGTTTTACGTGCGCGTTGACATTTTTGCAGCGCTTTTAATTTATTATTATTATTTAAACTAACAAATTGAGAAGTAGGATGTGTAATAGTACCTAGATCAAGTTCAAGCGCCGCAAAATCGTTGCCTTTTCTTACGAGACCCATGACAAAAGCGCTGGCAGGACGATAAATGTATCTTTTGGCGAACGTCTGCCTCGTCAGTTTTGCAAAAATAGTTAAATAGTAAAAGCCAATTAGGCTTTAGGCCACGGTTAAGTTAAGTTAAAGCGACTAAAACGATGCACATGCGACTGCATTTAGTGCGCTTTATGTACATAAATCTGCTGCTGAGGTGAGGAAATCAAGCGACTTTCTATATAAGGAGTGTTTTCTAAGTGCTTATCCGGATTTTCCGATTGCAGCTGCTGTTTCTGGTTGTACGACAATGTGGCAGCTGCAGATGCACAAACGCAAAGTAGCGATGGAGATTCGGTCCCGGCCGTGGGAACTATGGATGCAGCTCGGAAGACTCACTTAAATCGGGAAGAACCGGCGGCGCTACCAAAACCGGATCCTCCGCCCCCGCCCCCCGACGACGGAGCAGAAGTTCAACTACCCGCTCCAGATGGTGGTGAACCCATCATCATTGCGGCATCCTCTGCGGAGTCTCAATCTGGCAGACGGCCAATATCGGGGGACACGTCAGAGGGGGAGGAACGGCCCACGTTATCCGCACATCAACGTGCAAGTAGCCATAGTGAATATGTTAGTGAATTCGATTTAGCCGCTGATGGTGACGCCCCCTCATCCACCGCCCAAGTGCCAAATAATCAATTAAATTATAATAACCGTAATAATGACGGACAAGTGCATAGTTTTAGTGAATCACAGCAATTAGAGCAACCAAAGGAATTGGAGGAGGCGGAGGTGGTAATACAATCGCCTCAGCTGCAGCAACAACAACATACGCAGGCGGAAGAAAGGTGAGTGGTTTATTGATCCTACACTCGCGTTCAACATCATAGTGGTTATAAAGAAGCTATTAAGGTAAATATACGTCAGAGATCTTTAGAATTTCACGTTTAAGGTGATTCAATAATGAGTTGTTCAAATAAACAAATATTTAAACATGTTTACTAACAAATACAAAAGTTACAGACTTTCTTGTTTATTAGTAACTATTTTTAATTTAAAGACTTCTTTATTTTTTAGCAAAACATTTGTACTGACTAACTGACATGTTTATAATCAAACTAGTGGAGAAGGAGGAAGGTTTTGAATATCACTATAGTAAAATTGTTTCTTTTTTAAAGTATTGGAACAGGATCCACTTTTTTCCAAAGAATGTTTTGATTGTATACTACTTTCCCCGCTGTCGTTTTGTATACATACCTATGCACTTGACTTAGGAACGACTGGGTTTTTACTGATAAGTTCTTGTGACCCACTGACGTGCCTTTCAATTTGTGTTTCCAGGGGTAGTATGTATTTCCCAGTGGCGCAATTTCAGTTATCATTACGAAAGTATTTTCCAATCGACGTGACTTATTTGCTTGAACTTGAACATGAATTAAACATGAGGGCTACAACAAAGGCCAATTTCATTTATTTTGCCGAGACCAGAAAAGAAGGGAAGAATCTGGAATAAAACGATATAGGGGCAGATAAAAAAATGGCAAGAAGTTGCATGTACGATTAAAATACAACTCCCTTTTTTTTATTATTTGTTTGATGATCCCTAAAAAACTGGACTTTTATTCTAAAAAAAAAATGTAGTGTATGTAGGTATGTTTGTGTAAGTAGGTAAGCTCTGTTTTTTTTAAACTGTAATTCAATAGACACTGTGGAAAATTTTTACGTATGCTACATGATTTTAATATTCATTTTATAAAGCTGAAGAA